GACCTGAACTTTAAATTTACTGAGTTGCAGTCTGATGTGTTTCAACACAAGCCCCTCCTTCCTCTCCAAACTTGCTGATATCAGTGGAGTGTAATAATGGTTTCAGATGAGACTTCAGAGATGAGACACCAGGTTAAATGAGTCAACAGTCTGATCAGGTATTCTCACTGATATCTTTTACGTTTCAGAGGTTGGTGTGTGCTGACGGAACAAATCTGCAAATTATTATTCTGAAGCACTGCAAAGCTGCTCCTTATCTGACTTGAGGGTGGCGGTAGAATACATCAAAGGAATGCTGGCCAGCTTTGAAATCAAAGATGGAGAGATTTTGAGTTTATCAACAAAGGGAATCCTTTATAAAAAAAATGTGCAGCAGCTGTTTTTATTAAGCTTCCATCTGAACAAAAGGATTTGCAACCTTTAAAGGATTTCATTCAGTACAAACCTTGAGTCTACATTTTCATAGAATCATAGAATCATAGGACTGGAAGGGACCTCGAGAGGTCATCGAGTCCAGCCCCCTGCCCTCAAGGCAGGATCAAGCTCCGTCTACACCATCCCTGACAGATGTCTATCTAACCTGTTCTTAAATATCTCCAGAGAGGGAGATTCCACCACCTCCCTTGGCAATTTATTCCAATATTTGACCACCCTGACAGTTAGGAATTTTTTCCTAATGTCCAATCTAAACCTCCCCTGCTGCACTTTAAGCCCATTACTCCTTGTCCTGTCCTCAGAAACCAAGAGGAACAAATTTTCTCCTTCCTCCTTGTGACACCCTTTTAGATATTTGAAAGCCGCTATCATGTCCCCCCTTAATCTTCTTTTTTCCAAACTAAACAAGCCCAGTTCATGAAGCCTGGCTTCATAGGTCATGTTCTCTAAACCTTTAATCATTCTTGTCGCTCTTCTCTGTACCCTTTCCAATTTCTCCACATCTTTCTTGAAATGTGGCGCCCAGATTCACAGTTTTAAAATAAACAGGGGCCTAACTAGTGCAGAGCAGAGCGGCAGAATGACTTCACGAGTTTTGCTTACAACACACCTGTTGATACAACCTAGAATCATATTTGCTTTTTTGGCAACAGCATCACACTGTTGACTCATATTCAACTTGTGGTCCACTATGACCCCTAGATCCCTTTCCGCCATGCTCCTTCCTAGACAGTATGCCAAGAGGAGTTTCAAAGCGGCAGCACCACGTGGAGCCCAGGTCAACTGGGGACAAGTGGAACCTGGGGCCAGCTGACCCTGGGTTCTGAGGAAATGCTGCGCAGTACCCGCAATCAGCTGGAGAGTTCCCAGCCAACCCCGGGCTTTGCGTGGCATTTCAAATCGGCAGTGCAACATGTAGCTTACTTTTGGAATTGTGATGAGATAAAGTGGTGCTAATGACTCTACCACCAATACTAGTCTTGCACCTATCAGCACATAATTCAGTATAATTAAAATGTACTGTCTCAGCAACTGTTCAATAAGTTACAGTAACACAGGTATGGCTTGAAGTCTATCTTTTAAAAATACCTTTTAAGAATTTGCAACTGTGCTGTATGTATAAAAAAATCACTATGGGCTGAAACTTTGCCTTTGAAAAATTCTGCCAAGAAGTGGAATATTTTTAAAATAAAAAAATATAAATCAAAACAACTACAGATCCATTTTGAAGACCATCATAACTCTTAAAATACATTCAAGTTGCCAGAATTTAGAGAGCCATTTGTTCAAGATGTGTGCATCCCCCTAGGTGGTTTTTGGGCCAATAAGTAAGACATTTGGTTTAGGACAAAAATCACTAAAATTAAGTTTGGGAATCTCCCATTCTATCATTTACAATATTTGTTGACCATTCTTCTATCAAGGTCTTTACAAGATCCACTCCACGAGTGACTACACTTTCACTGTCTCTATACCGGGGCTACGTCGACATTGGCATGATCTTATGCAAATACTTTTTAACACAAGAGTTCTTGTGTTAAAGTATTTGCGCAAGAGAGCATCTACACCGGCATGTGCCTTTGCGCAAGAGATGTGCTTTTGCACAAGAGCATCCGTGCCAGTGTAGACGTTCTCTTGCGCAAGAAAGCTCTGATGGCCATTTTAATCATAGGGCTTTCTTGTGCAAGAAATTCATGTTGCTTGTCTATACTGTCCTCTTGCGCAAGAACAGTTGCGCAAGAGGGCTTATTCCTGAGCGGGAGCATCATAGTTCTTGCGCAAGAAGCACCGATTTCACACATTAGAACATCAGTGTTCTTGTGCAAGAACTCAGGGCCAGTGTAAACAGGCAGCAAGTTTTTGCGCAAAAGTATTCGCTTTTGCGCAAGATCACACCAACGTAGACACAGCCTAAGAGTGCCTGGTTTGGCACCAGAAACTATAATGATTTCCTTACAGTCACGTTCAGGCCAAAGGACAGTCTAAAGAGTATTCTCATGCCCAGAGATAAGAGGATTTTCCCAGATGAAGCCCATTTTTTCTTCCTGATGTTCCACTGCTTTCATAAACAGGTCTAAATGAGCTAAACTGCTCCCATTAAATGAGGAAATGGAGTAATGGAACCTCTTCCATTACAAGTGGAAATGCTTTCCTATTGGCCATATTTTAACACAATTCCATGTTACATAAAGGTGGGACAGGATGGGCTAGTCACAGCAAAGAAATGGAAGAAAAACAGGGAAATAACCATGATGAAATAAATCACGCCCCCCTCCAAAAAAAAAAACCAAACCCATCCTACCAAAGAGAACTGCTGTGGCAGACACACAGAGACATCAGAAAAGCCTATTCTGCTGGTGGGCTGTAGCCACAGCAACAGGTAAAGTCTGAATAAATGAAATAAACTGAACACAAAAGATAAAATGAGAGAGAGATGGCAGGATATGAAATACCACCAGAGTGCAGATTCAGGGTTCAAAATCTCTGTTAGGCAAACAGCATTTCCCATGGCACTTAGTGCATCACTGCAGCAATGTCTAAATTATTTATATGCCAGGTGTATGAGATTTGTGGATGTAGCATCATAAAACTGACTTGCTCTTGAAAACCCTTACTCTGTTTTTGCTTTAGAGTCAAGTCATGGGTTTGAATATTTGTACGAAGGTTTTTAAACTGTCTCTTGTTTATTTCCATTTAGTCCACCGGATATGGGATAAAACATTTTTCCAAACAGTTATTAATCCCTACTCTTGGCAATCTTTAGTGGGAAATAGAGACACTAATGTGTGTATAATACTTCTAAAAATTCTTAAAATAATGTATGTGTTTAAAAAATATGCTAAGGGTCTGTGTTCACCAGTGTGATAATACTGTACAATACTCACTTTTCATAACGCTTTCTACTTGTTGATTTCAATTATTTTTCTCATCTATTTGTGCTCCTCCAGGCAACACTACAAATCTCAGATACATAAAGAGCAAGACAAATTCTTCCCAATATGCATCCCATTGGCATAACAGCATAGGATGGTAAGTCAAGACAGAATTTGTCCTGATGTTTTTAACAGTTTTAAAGTGGCCATAACCCGGCCTCTTCCCCTCCCAAATCAGTTTTGTACCCAACGATTAATTGCAGGTCCAAATGTTTGCAGTCGGCTGCCTAACTGCCAGATTCGTCATTTTAATCAGGTAGCTAAGGTGCTATTAACTGCTAGTGTTTGTGCTTACAGTTAATTTTGCTCCTTAAGTGAAGGCTTATATTTTTTAAAAATTAGGCTCAATGCCTATTAACTATCATGGAGAGGCATGAAAGACCTTAATAATCACAGGTCTTGACTAAGCTCTTAAGCACTGTAATACATAGAATAGAGCCACAGAATTTATTAACCCAGAACTCTGATGCAACCATTAGCTCTACATAAGCAATTAGTCTCATCCTATGGCTGCTTCTCCTGCCATCTCTCGGTAAGCCTAATATTTCCCTCATGCTCATCTTTATCACTTTGTTCTGATCACAGTTTCATCTTTCTTGGAGCCATTCAGAAAAGCATTACACATCAGAGTACAATCATTACAACAGAGATTCAAGTGCTGCTCATATATAATTCAAATATATTAGGTTTGAATTAGCTTATTATTCATAAAATCTGGTCCCTTTAGCACAAAGGGATGAGCCATGCTCAGAAATGTCACCTGCACTAGAGATAAAACATCAGAGAAACCTTTAAAACATGTCACTGTAGAGTACAATATGAATTCACACCTTTGCCAAACACATCCTGCTGCTTAAAGGGACATAGTGAGGATACAAATCCTAGGGTAAATTAAATACATATGCTGACATACAAAAAAACCCAAGTCTTTGATATATCTTTTAATGAGTTTATTTCACCTGCTCAGTTTATTCCCAAGTAATTCTGCTGTTAACCCTTATGCTGACAGTAATTCCATTTCTCTTTAATATTTTGACAGTGTCTATGGTGGGTATTTGTTTCTGCAAACAGCTTTAGATATTAAATTTTCAGGATAAGTACTAGTTTGTCTATGAGCTAGCATCCAGAATTATTTCATAAAGATGCTTACTTATACACTTCAATTAATGGCAAAACTCCCAATACTTCAAAGGGGCCATGACCTTCAATTTGTACATCTTTTAAAACTCAGTATATATTTGGACAGAAATTTCTGCAATTGAAGTTTGATTTCTGCAAATTCAGAGTGGCCTGAAAAAAGTAATTAGTGGAACATGACTCTCTGCAGACAATTTCCTAAAACCTTTTGAGCATTTAAGTGCTCGTTATATTCATATTTTGTTCCTTTGTTCTTTTACTATCGGCTACATTAATACACCACTTTGTAAAACCATTAGGATGACAAATCTTGACCACCCCTCAATCCAATGTGCATGTGCTAAAATAGGACCAAGCAGTGCAAATTTCCCCATGTGGTGCAAGCATTTGTATAATAATATTTTTCAAACAGTTGTCAGCTATCACAACATCACAAACATTCAAAGAATCTTGCCACTCAACCCAATGTTTGATATTCAGCAGCATGCAGCTAACCTTTGTGTTTCCCCTTTTTCTCCTTTCTTGTACTGCCAGTTTGACAGCTTGCAGCTGCTGCCTTGGTTTTTTTAGTCGATTTTGGAGCTTGTGCATCTGCTACCACCTTTACATCTTCCCGCTCGGCCTCCTGAACTGCTTGAGAGATTCAGGGCACCCACCAAAAAAGAAAAACAGGAAAACAAGAGAGAGAGATTGAAATGAAAACTCCATGAAGCCACAGAAAAGAATGCAAGTGCAGCAAAGTGTAAGGTTTAGCTGACATTTCAGTTTATTCAGGGAGGAAATTAAACTAAACAAGGGATTGCTGAGCTACAATGGAATTTAAATGACAGACTGGTTAAGATTAGGGTTTTATTTTCTCCCATTCTTCCACTCCTACAATGTATTGGTTGCTATGCATTAGACCCAAAATACCACCACAAATGCTACTATGCTTCTGAGGCACTAAAAGCAGCACATTTCACTGTAGTAAAGCTATATGAGTGCTGATCAGTGTTCAAGCCTTATGAGTAGGGCCCCACCAAATTCATGGCCATAAAAAACAAAATTAAATCTGATCTCCTCCCATTAAATCTGGTCCTTGGTGCACTTTTACCCTATACTATGCACATTTCAGGTGACTCTCAGCTCTGTAGGCAGAATACCACCACCAGCAGTGGCAGCACAGACATAAGGGAGGCAATATCCTCGCATTGCAGCCTTACTTCTGCACAGCTGCCTTCAAAGCTGGCCAACCAGAGATTGGTAGCGGCTGACTAAGGATCCAACCCTGCAGGAGGCTTTGAAGAGGTCAGGGTGGCAGTAACATGCCATCTATACTTCTGCACTGCAGCTGACAGGGGCTGTGCCTCCAGGGCTAGCTGTGCCTTCAGTCACCACTCTCCAGCAGTCCAGCTTTGAAACTAGTGCTGCCGCCAGCAGTAGTGCAGAAGTAAGGATAGCAATACTGCAACCCCCCCGCCCAATAACCTTGCAACGCTGCTGCCCTTCTTCTTCCCCCCCACCACACACACACACACACACACACACACACACACACACACACACACACCGCTCCCATTTTTGCTCACGGTCCCTATAATTACAACACTGTAAATTTCAGATTGAAATAGCTGAAATTATGAAATGTATGATTTTTAAATTCTGATCACTGTGAAATTGACCGAAATAGACCCTAAATTTGTTAGGCCCCTACCCATGAGCCAGTTCAATAATATAATGATAGCTGGTTTGTTTTTCCATAGTTCACAGCCCTAACTATACAGCTAATTCCAAAAGCATCATCTGAAGCTGAACTTCACAAAACTCACTTCTTATGGTATAAGTCACATCACAATCAACTTTGGCAAGAGTGGCCCATTAGTTTATAGAGACTTATTAGAACCATTTAAAGTGAAAAAAATTGCTCACATTTTAAAAGTTCATTCTGCATAGTAGTTCGTTCTATAGAAATCTCAATGGAATAGAGCATTCACTGTGAAAGCCAGTATAATCATGTGATTGCAGCAACTTTCAAAGTAATAGAGATTTACTATTTATTATAAAGTGCTGCTAGAGGACTTATTTAATTTTGTTAAAACATATAAATATGCAACAGTTTTTTTCTAGCTAGAATGAGCCCTTATGTAAAATAAAATGACTTTTTTTGTTAAAGTGACTTGAATACTTTTTAGGGTTTTGCATACACATTTAAAGCGATCATCATCATGAACTACATACAAATACATGATCAAGCCCTTCAGCCTCCAAACATACCAGCACTGAGAAGGTTAATTAGATGAAGATCTAGATCTTCAAATTTTGTAAACTGTCACCAATGGAATTATGGCACAAGAACATAAGAATAGCCCATATTAAGTAGGATTAATAGCCCCATGTCCTGTCTTCCAACAATGGCCAGTGCCAAGTACCCCAGTGGGAATGAACAGAACAGGCAATCATCAAGGGATTCCTCGCCTGCCACCCATTCCCAGCTTCTGGCAAACAAAGGCAAGGGATACTCCAGAGATACTTTACATCTGCTGAGAATCTGGCCTGAGAGCTGTACAGAATCTACCATACAGGACATGAATCTTATACAACTCCACTTTTTTAAAAGATGCAACTTGACCATTACTATGCACTCACCTGCACCAGAAACAACAAAAAAGTGTTCTTAGAGGGAAAAAAAGCTACATTTGGAAAGAGACCATATGGCCGCACTAGAAAGGCAAGATAAGGGACCCGCCAGATATAGCGGGGTGGGGCATTCGCCTCAGGAGTGCAGGGTGGTGGGTTCGAGTCCTGCCTCCACCACCCGACTGGGAAGAGGCTGCCCCAAGAAAAGAATTGGCTTGCTCACGAGATCATTTACATTATCATTGGCAAGCTCCAGAAACCCAGTAAACAGATAAGACCCAGTAATCTCTAAAAGAATTGGCTTGCTCACGAGATCATTATCATTGGCAAGCTCCAGTAAACAGATAAGGCCCAGTGTGACCCAGTAATCTCTCTCACAGAAGATATGAACCAGTGGTTCTCAACCTGTGGGCCACTTGCAGCCAATCAACACACAGCTGAGGCCCATGTGGCATCCCTGGGCCCTTACAGCTAGCATATACATTGTGAGACTGACCCACAAAACACAAAGATAGCTGCATAAGCAGCCCACAGTGATAAATAAGTTTGAGAGCCACTAATGTAAACACTCTCCAAATTCATGAGTTATGGGACAAGTCCACTATGGACCAAACCCTAGACTGCTAATCCAGGAGTAGTTCTATTAACTTCAGTGAGCATCCTCACACAAATAAGGCAAGTAGAGCCCTGTGCAGATACAAAATTTGCTTCTGCATCCACAAATATACGTGCAAAAAAGAGCCACAGATATCCATAGCCAGATACAGATATCTGTGGATTTGCAGGGCTCTAAAGATGTATACAAATCATTTGTAAGCTCATATCTCCTCCCTTGCGATATAAAAGTCTATAAATTGTATTAAATTTACAACACACTGTGAGTTAATCATTTTCTTTCTTTTACGAGAGAGCGCTCCGTTATAATGCACTTGTACATAATGAACCCATTCAATCTACAGAACTCTATATGATCAGAAGGGCCAATAGGGCTGTTTTACCCCAACTCCTCATTCTATGTACAGCCTAGTTACAAACCCATTGGCAGCAATGTCTTGCAAAGCATTAGCGAAGACTGTGGACAATGCATGAGACAGAACAGAGGCAGCAATTACTCCATCCCTCAGGGAGGATGGCAAGATTAATGTTATGAAATGCAGCACAGTAGGCTCTGTTTAACCAGTCATGAAGGCCTCTGATTAACAAGGGCAGCAAAGAACCCCTGCTGATGATAATTTTTACATTTACATGCCTAGGAATTTTGTTCTATATCTGCAGCTGTCTCTCTCCTTTTTAAAAACAAGGGAGGTTATTTCTGGTTTTGTTTATTTCATCATTATGATGATCTAGTTAGTAAAATTCAGTATTGTCCTAACAACTGATCAATAACTAGCCAGGACTCTAAAGCTACTCTACAATTTTGTTTAATATTCCCATATGTTCAGCTCAAACACCATTAAAGGAGTCTAAAATGGATCCTAATTGAAATGGGATGGAACGTTCTGATATTACTAACTGAAAAACCAAAAACTCAAGAGGTTTTTAGGACCAACTGCTTGCCATCATTTCAGTCAGCCTTTGATAGAACTAATAAAAGCCTGAAGTTAAATAATTATTAGTGTGGGTTGCAGTTGCACGAATTAGATTTAAAAAGCTGGCACATGTCAGCAGTAGATGCCTAAATATTAAGACCGAGGTGCGACCTCCTCAAGGTTCCTTCCACCTTTCTGCACAAAGCCAAGAAGGCAGTCTATCTAGGTGACATCTTGAACACACATCACCAGAGTACATCTGATAAAGACAGCGCAATCAAGGGCAAGTGGTAGAACTAACAAAATGACATTTAAAGGCACACCAATGCCCAGTAGCAACAAGTGGATAATTGAAACAATACCACTTATGTTTACTCCATTGCAGCAAACCAACACACACAATGTAGTGAATATTAAATACACCCAGAGATCTCTTCTGGATCGATGCACCAAGTTAAGAAAAACCTGGCAATGTTTATTTGAATAATGAATGCATTTGAAGAATTTGCAATCTGCTCGAAAAAACACTGTACGAGCGGAAAGAGAGGCTAAACAGCTGGATAAATTATTCAGAGCAAATTATTCACTCAGCTTTACTAGGCAACCATTCTATCCATTTATCAAAGTTCTCACACTTCTCATTTCATGACAAGTGAAACCAGAGTGAGTATCAAGCACAGAAAACTAAACAACAGTTTAATAAATACACTGGCTTTTGCCTACTTGTTTGATGTACTCTCACGGTTCTCCATTAAAATGGCTTGGCACCTTTCTCTGTAATCTCTTGGCTGTTGAGACTGTTACTATTTATTTGGACAGTGATCCACTATAATTGTATCTGAGCTATTTTAAAATTGTTTCAACATTGCTTAAACTACAACCTTTTAACTAGTCTACAAATATGAGATGTTCCTAGCAGTATATCAATTCTAGTGAAGTAAAGAATGGTAAAAATATTAAATTTCATTGGAAAAGAGCAGCAATTTTTACCAGTTTTGTTGAAAGCCTATAAAACTGAATGATTGAAGTAATGCTCAAAGGTCCCCATTAGGTTCAGGGTCTCTATCTGGGTACTGTTCAAATACTTGGCAAGACATGGTCTCCTCCCAAAAAGATTATAGTCTAAGGTCTCTGCAACTGGTAGTGAGCAGGCAGATTGCTCGGCCTGTACAGAATGACGATGAATTTAACAGTGGGAAAAATAACTACTCTTTAACTTGCTTTAGGAGTATCACTTTTGTGATTCAAAATAGCACAGCCCCTCAAACTGAGCATAACTCCTTGTAGCAATCTCCCAATACGTCAAGTACAAGGATCAAAACTATGTCTAATTAACAGATAATGCCAAGTTTAACTCCATTGCAATTTGAGATCTGCTATTCTTAAACACAAACATTATTTGAAGCCTAGAGGCCTATATTGTGTTTTTCAGTCAAACTAATCCTCAACGTTACAATGTAGGAACCCAATTGTGTAAAGCAATCCATG